CACGTTTCTTAATTTATTTTAGGAAACGCATCCTAATTGCCTTGGGGTTAGGATTTACTTCTCTATAAATACAAGCTCTCTCCCTTGTAATCATTGTGTGTAGATCCGAAAATAGCAATAATATTCCTGGCTTGGTAGCGCCCCAGACGTAGTCATTCGTGGCGAACTGGGTTACCAAATATTGTGTGTTCTTTAATTGTAATTCCTAACAGAAGCTCAGGCAGAAAATTATCTTAAAGATGATCGATGACCCAATTGCGAATCTTAGCCTAATTGCTTATCCTAGCCCAATTAAAGTTTAATAGAAACATTTTCTAAAAACTAAAGCCCTAGAGGTCTCGGTCATAACATCTAAGATATAGATAGTATACTTCTACGGAAGGGCTTGTGTTGTTGTTCGGTCTCTCCATCTAAGTCTTCTTTTCTTCCAACGGTGCCTTGGATCACTTTCTCAAAATTGGTAAGTATGCAATCTCCTTGTTTAAGTTTATCTTTTGAATTTTTGGTACTTCAGGAGTTAGGATGTTTTCTTTTGGACTGTTTTCAGTCCCAGACCAGACCAGACCAGACCAGACTTAAACAGACCAGACTAGACCAGACCAGACCAGACTTAAACAGACCAGACCAGACCAGACCAGACCAGACTTCCGTAGTTATAAAATACAAAGAGACCAGACGTTTACCAGACCAGACCAGTTCAGACCAGACCAGACCAGACTTAAACAGACCAGACCAGACCAGACCAGACCAGACTTAAACAGATCAGACCAGATCAGACCAACAAATTTCAGTCCTAAAGAAAACATCCTTAATCGAAGGAGCAGGTCTCCATTAGTGGGATTTTATTCCATAATAGAATTTAAATGTATCTTTGTTGCTCCCTGTCAATCCAAATCTATATTTCCTCACAAATTTGAGTATTACGAATCCTGCTATTAAATTTGAGCTTTGGAAAGTATGGATAGGGACAAACTAGTATTGTTGCGGCTGCTTTGTTAAATTCTGGCGGCTGGTTCATACTTTCAATATCTACGTTTTTCTCAGTGAGTTGTTCAACGTTCTATCTAAAAATAAAGGTGTAGACATATGTATTAAATTAGTCTTTGAGGGTCATATTGGAGTACGGTCTAAATTTAAATTCAGCTCCTTCAAAATATTTAACTTTGTCCTCTAAATCACTCTTTGTGATATCTTTATCATATATGAGAATTGAGAACATATATAATTTTTATCTTCTAAACTAAGCTTTGTTCCATCAAATGTATTTCATCTTTCGAGTAGCTGACTAGTGGTACAGAAGTATATTCTAATTTGTTAGTTGTTTTCCTTAAGTTAGAAAGTTGTTTTACTATTATATTACTAAAAGTCTAGGACCTTATATTATAAATATTTGATCAAAATAAGTTATTACAATTGAGTCTAAGGTTAAGGAATTTTATGCACCCAGAGTCGTAAGAAGCCATTTAAGAATTTTAGTAGAGCAATATTAATTACATTTAAAGACTTGCTAAATAACAGTAAGTTCTAACTCTACTATATATTTACTTAAAGAGTTATAAATGAAGAGCTTATCGGAAGATGTTATTAAGGTGCCGCACTTAATTGAGTAATTTGAGTTCAGCTTCTACAGGTGAGTCACCACCACCTATACATGATATTTCTAAATAAAGTAGGGAAGATTAGCAGTTGTGAATATGATATATGTGCTTGGCTACTTGAAATTGTATGTCATGAGATATGTGAATTTCAAGTTCTATGTTTGATTTGGGGTTGATTCGTATGGAATCAACAATGAAAGGAAGTGATGATGATAATGAAAGTAATGAAAGACAAGTAATGTTGCAAGGTAGTCGTGCCCCCAAGTAACTACCTGAGCTAAGCGTAGCGGGATCTCCTCTCACGGGGAGTCCCGGGGTTGCTTCTGATGGCTGAGGGCTAGCTACCCGAGGTCGTCAGCGAGGGGCCAGAACACGAGCTACGGGCCCATAAAGTCAAGGAATAAGATAAGAAGAAAGAATGGTGAATAAGGAAATCTCTTGGTGTTTGATACATGAATGCTTATGTGTTGTTATCATGTGTGATTATAGTATATGTGTAGTGTATTCAGCATGGGTATCTATTTATGATTAGCTAAGATTCCCTAAACGTTTTATTGGATGAAATGGTGACTTACTAAACATTATTGCTTACGAGAATTCTATTCTCGTATGTCCTCATGTATAGGTAATAAACGAGGTACATAAGCCTGAGAGAATGGAGCAGATGAAGAGGTTTTGGATGGGTTAACGGAGAAGATCGGGCTCTTAGTTTTGTTGTTGTTTTAGTACGCTGGTACTTCAAATGGTTGTTAAACGTTTTAAAATCCCTATTAGGTGTAATGGTTTTAAAGATGTTTTATTTTGGATGTCTTCCGTTATGGTTGTAAGGTTTGATTTTATTCTAAAAGAAATAAAGTCTCATATCGAGGCTTTGTATCTTTATTTCCGCTTGATTTATCGAGTCTCTTTTATGTTTGAGTACCATAATGACCGTTTTGGGGACGACCATTACAATTTACACTTACTACGACTTTAAAAATATACCAGCCTCTTCCACCCTAAACACAACCCCACAATGATTAGACTTCATCGCCAACAAACTTCTAATTCCATTACCACCCAAAATATGCTTACATTCTTGAAAAGATTAAAAAACTATGACAATCACACATCTACGTTAAAATATTTTTAGTAAGTTATCAGTTACTATAACAGGATACATGGGAATTTAGCCACATGACCAATAGCTTATCTCGTGAACATTAAATACCAATATGAATAACTCTTAAGTTAGTATACAGCAAATACAAGGTAACTTAACTCAATAATAATCACTTAAACCCAAAAATGCTTACACATAACGTACACCCGAAGCATACACCAATCCTGCCCAGACTAACATACCAAAAAATTTATATCCTTCGAATATAATATACTACGTATATTTCATTCTGGTCACATCACAATTCACAACCACATCCCCAACAGCACGTGTTTGTATCTTCTCAATATCTTATCTTGTACGAAGTAATTGTGAATATTTTAGTTTCTCACAGCAATGTTTTTTTCCGGATAGGAATACTTGAATGTGCATGTATACATTTTTATTCTTGATTGTAATGTGCATATAGAAACACTTCCTACTTCCAAATTCTTTAAAAGGTAATACAATTTATATGTGTATGTTACACCTCCATTTTTAAAAATATAACTTAATTGAAGAAATAGTTATATGGAATATTACTCCGAACATTCAAATTGTAATATGGAAAATCCAATTCAAAATTTAATAATATCATGTCGTATATTTGAACAAGAGTAAAGTTAATTTCCTCAGTTAACTTTTAGGGATCGAACTTATTGGAACAATAAATGATGATAAATGAATTATATGAAACAACTTGTTCATTAAATATAAAGTATTTAATAAATATCCTTATGTTACTTATAATTGGAAAAATGCAATTAACCATTTATATATGCAGTAACACACAAGTGTATATATACTCATGTAGACAACACATTGACGGTCGGGAAATAAAAGTCAAATTGTGGAAATAGAATAGAAATTTATTTAGTTATGGATATTTTGAAGCATCTCACTATTTCCTTAGTGTGCTTGGTTTCAATTCTTTGGCCTTTATTAGTGTCTGCAAGCAATGTATCACCAACACCCATTGGAGATGAGAGTTATAATGCAGACGAGGAATTCTTATCCAAGCAAGGATATATAGACGAGTGCATTGATTATGAAACGTTAGATCTTGTGGGCTCTAGTCATGCTAATGACTTGGATTATATTACAGAGCTTTGCACTGAAAGAGCTAACAAATTGTGTGCAGCATTTAAGGGAAAAATGTATTGTTGATACGACTATAAATAGACCCGCGACCTTCAGGACAATGTAATAAGCATATGTTTACTACACCGGTTAGACAGTTACAAAGCGGTACTTATTAAGACATGTGTTAATAAGCAGTGTATTAAATAAACAATGTTATAAGCGCATGTTTGGAACACATGATTTAAAATACGGATTAACATTAAAATGTCCAAAATATATAATCTTGTACATGTATACACACATATTCATATATACACATGTATATATAATATAATATAATATAATATAATATAATATAATATAATATAATATAATATAATATAATATAATATAATATAATATAATATAATATAATATAATATAATATAATATAATATAATATAATATGATATAATATGATATAATATGATATCATATGATATGATATGATATGATATGATATGATATGATATGATATGATATGATATGATATGATATGATATGATATGATATGATATGATATGATATGATATGATATGATATGATATGATATGATATGATATGATATGATATGATATGATATGATATGATATGATATGATATGATATGATATGATATGATATGATATGATATGATATGATATGATATGATATGATATGATATGATATGATATGATATGATATGATATGATATGATATGATATGATATGATATGATATGATATGATATGATATGATATGATATGATATGATATGATATGATATGATATGATATGATATGATATGATATGATATGATATGATATGATATGATATGATATGATATGATATGATATGATATGATATGATATGATATGATATGATATGATATGATATGATATAATATAATATAATATAATATAATATAAAATAATATAACATAACATAACATAACATAACATAACATAACATAATATAATATAACATATGATAATATCACATAATATGATATGATATGATATGATATGACATGACATGACATGACATGACATGACATGACATGACATGACATGACATGACATGACATGACATGACATGACATGACATGACATGACATGACATGATATGATATAACATAACATAACATAATACTATCGTATAACATAACATAATATAATATAACATACGATAATATAATATGATATATGATATGATATCATACGATACGATACGATTGGGTCTCTGCAATCTACCCAATTGCAGATATGCACCCGTCTGTGTTCCAACTGCAAGTTCATTTGGAAAATTTTCAATACATAAATTTTTGTGGCGCTCAAAGGATAACAACAATAGTCAAGGACGATGTTCAATCTCGAACCATGCATACAGAATACTTCCAAATGAATGCTCGGGATGAGGTGGCAAAAAAACTTAATCTTTTATATATTCAGTTTCCTGAATACTTTGTTTGGTCTACCACGAATAATGGTGTGGAAGCATGCTTGTGTGAAGCAGTTTTATATCAAATGCTGCAAAGCCTTCGTGAGCTTTTTGGAACCCTTCTTGTTTTCTGTGATATTTCAGACCCTTCTTGTTGAAGATAACTGCGCAGTTATTTTCAAGAATTCATTTGAATGCCTTCTGGGTTGAAGTTTTAGCTGAAATTTGGTATGAGTAAACTAGACTTGATTAATAAGATGCTAAAAAAATTCATCAAAAATTCCAATGGGAACCACCCCAAATGACGACGGCCGGACAGAGTCTCCTAAATAAGGACTTATTTGACCTTTTTTGGTTAGTACATGGGCCTATTTGCACCTTTTCCCTAAAATAAATTAAAGAAATGGTTTTTTTTAAGATAAAGAAATGTTTTTTAATTAACTGGATTACACTCATATTTTACGCCGTAAAGTTCATTTTAAATGTTTTTAATCACAATTAATCGATGAGGTGTTAAGCCTATGTCATTTATATCTATAAGGGAAAAGGTGCAAATAGGCCCATGTACTAACAAAAAAAGGTCAAATAAGCCCTTATTTTGGAGGTTCTGTCCGGCCGTCGTCATTTGGGGTGGTTCCCGGTGGAATTTTTTGATGAAATTTTTTGATCATCTTATTCATCAAGTCTAGTTTACTCATACCAAATTTTAGCTAAAACTTCAATCGGGAAGGCATTCAAATGAATTCTTGAAGATAATTGCGCTTCTAACTGCGCAATTATTTTCAAGAATTCATTTGAATGCCTTCCCGATTGAGGTTTTAGCTAAAATTTGGTATGCCTAAACTAGACTTGATGAATAAGATGCTCAAAAAATTTCATCAAAAAATTCCACCGGGAACCACCCCAAATGGCGACGGCCGGACAGAGTCTCCAAAATAAGGGCTTATTTGACCTTTTTTGGTTAGTACATGGGCCTATTTGCACCTTTTCCCTATCTATAATATCCTATATACAGGACAAGGGAAATTGTTTTTTCTAGCCTGTAGCTTTAACTTGTAGCTAAAAATTGGCTGATAAGCCATTTCCAAACAAGGCCTATGGAGTGATTATACTAATACAAAGTAATGAAATTAAAAGTTAGATACCCGAAGTACTTCGGAGTTGCACACGAAGATCTATAAATCGTAAAACCTGAATTAGAGATTAGAAGAGAAATAAGTTGATTAACTAAGGATTAAGGATCAGACAAAAAGCAAAGATAATGACTGAGGGCACCCATGCCATATCCCTCATTTCCAATGAAAGGAAAAAAAACACCAGCAATAGGTCAAACAGTACTACGTTGAAGTTGTTGTAAGTAAAACTTAATCTGAATGGGGAGTGATGAAAGTGCAATTCCTTGGTATTGCAGAATCCTCAATTACTTGAGTATAACTTCCATCAATAAACCAATCGTTAAGAACTTTTCCATAAGACTGCGAGAAAGAAAAAACAAACAACTTTAGTTCAAGGGGAAGGATAAAGTGCTCAATCAAGCAACAATTAATGCTGAAATTTTTATGCAAGGAAAAGGAATTAAAATACCATATTCCAATAGTATGGTAGATCATGGGCGATGCAACTAGTAATCCGCATTCCCCTTTCGGAAGGACAAGCTTTTGGTAACGTGGAAAGTACGTATTGCCTCAAATCTAAATTTTCCACAAAATTAAGCATTATCATATGCGTAAAAATACCAAAGTACGTTGGAAAAAGTGTTAGCCCTATACCAGTCTCAAATTTGTGTTTATGAATTATTATAGTGCAATAGTATTGCAATAATAAATTCTCCTTTATTAATTATTTTCACAGTTACACATTGTTTACTGTTGTTAAAAAACAATGCATATCTTATACATGTGTCTCAAATTTGTGCACTACAAAACACTAGTGAGATTTCACGGATTTAACACGAATATTTGTAAAGTAGGAGTATTTGAGAGCCATAATTAGTCTCGTAATCATGCTTAGGAAGGACCCGTTCATGTAAACTATATGTTTTGAGTCGTGCACTCGTGCCTGAACTCGATTAATCTGAGTCAATTCCGTGTCAAGTTATGTTGATACCAGAGTTTTGGTGTAGAGGTTGTTCTTTAAAAACATAATATGCATGTAGCTTATTGTAGAAATTCCAAAAATGGGTGATGTTTTATGTAACGTTTCTTAATAAGTGGTAAATCTGATGCGGGGGGGGGGGGGGGGGGGGGGGCAAAACGTTTTACACAATGAAGTCAAATGTGGTGCTTAAAGCTTTATAATAAGTATTTACCTTGGATTGCCTTGAGCCGATCATGAGTGCAATTATTGTGGAAAAGGCAAACCTCATCCGCCCGGAATAGGTTATACCTTATCTGACAAAAACCGATTGAAAAACCATTGACACTATTTAGTGGCCTATTTAGTACCAGCCAATGGTTGGGATTATCATTATTATTAGAAGATGAGTATTAAAGCCAAGGACATACTTGGATTAGATCGAATGACGACATTGCTATAAAAACAGGTGTTCTTATAGTCGGCAAAAAGTATTGAGGGAAGAAGCACTGAGGGGCAGCCAGATAAAATCGAATTTTATTAGTATATATGTATGAATTGCATCATACGAGTATTATATTGGGCAATATTTATCAATAAACTTTGTCTCAACTCACCAAATCCGGACTCATTCTTGATGTGCACAGGGGAGGCAATGCTTTGGAAGATCCCTAATTAAGAAACCCAAAGCCAACTCCAGTGTTAATAAATTTGAGTGTCTTTAATTAGGTGCGTATAGCATATAATAATGTCAACTTGTAAGGGAAGCTAAAATACGTGTAAACTGATCAACCCCAGGAACGTTGCTTCAAACTGTTTGCTTCCATTAAGATGTGCCCTGTTGAAACATCGACTAGAAGCATGTTTATATTGTTTCAAGTCGCCTTTAATTTAATATTGCATAATATGTTCAAAGTTATATTTCATTTACTTGAAACTCACTTTAACACACATATATGACATATCATTATTACAAAAAACGGAATGACACGGATTTGACAAGAATTTACAAGTTATATATTTTGTGTCAAATGGTTCGTGTCAAAGTGTTTTTGACACGAATTTAACTTATTTCTGCCAAACCCTATATGTAATTTGGTGATCTATGTGTAATTTAAATTACTAATTAATTGAAGTGAACTTACTCATGCACAAAGTAAGATGCAATTGCGAGGCACTTGACTCGTGCAGTAATTGGAAGAAGATCCCGAAACCGGTCACGATGAATCATAGCTGCCAATCCCCCTGCCGAACCTCCGCTAAGAATCGCCTATAATTAATTCCATTGTTACAATATTAATTACCATATCACATACTACGTAGTATTACGTAAGCTCTTTAATTTTTAGGTCAAAAGTTAATATACTACTCGTATCTTTTTGCTTTTCCTTTGATAGCATACATATATATACGGAGTATTAGACATGAACTGTTTTAGAAATAACCAGCCACTTTTTTTAATTTTCAATAAATGAAAAACATACTCGGTATATGATAAATAAAAAATAAATGACAAACATATCCACTCTACTGTTTAATAAAGTTAAAGTTGAGTTTGACTTGCAAAATTATGCCAAAATATAGTCTAGCTAGATATTATTATTAATTTATTATTAGTAGCCTTCAGTTATACTACATACAAATTAAATACGGAGTAATACGGAGCAATATCTTACATTTTGAGCATGCTTCATTCCTTTAGACAGGAGGTCATCCATTGTGGCCTCAAAGATTCTGAAACCTCTGTAGGTTACATTAGTAACCTTATAAAAGAGTACATAAAATGTTAGAAGCTTCAAGTGATTAAAATTAAATTAATAAGCCCTAGGCCCTAGCCATATGAGTATACGTTTACGGTGAGAATTTCTGAATGAAACAGTCGAGTACTTACCGGATCAACAGCTTCTTTGTTTCCCGTAAACGAAGATCCGTCACAATATGGAACAAACACCCTGTTCCAGTTGTAGAACTCTAAACATGCATACACAATATGCATATCCAGTAATGAAGTTAGAAGGACGGTTTAAATTTTTGGCATGTAACATGCATTATGGTCACTAATAGTCATGGGCCCGGTTCTCGGGTCCGGGTCCGGGTCCGGGTCAGGCCTAGGCCCGGTGGGGGGCGGGTCCGGGCTCGGGCCTTGTATTTGGCGAACCGGCCCGGCCGGGTCGGGCCCGGGTCCGGGCCTAATTGATTGGGGGGGTAGGAAAGCAAACCGGAGGCCCGGCCCGGACCCGGACCGGACCCGGTGGCTACCCGGGCCGGTCCCGGGCCTTCCTTCCCAAAAAAAAAAGTCCGGCCGGACCCGGTTCGGGCCGCCCGGCCCGGAACCTTAATTATAAAGCTTAGTGACTCACTAAGCCTTATATATGGTCTCATTATTCTCAAATTCGATCAATTAATTAAGGAAAATTTATAATTATCGATCTTCAAAATAAAAGCATTTTAGGTTGTACTCGGTATTGTGTAATTGTACGAACCACACTTTTATATCTTTGTTATCGATAGATAGTGCTATATACGCGCGATAGTAATTCTCAGATTTTAATAAAAAAAATCAGGACTAGCTATGAAATTGTTGACGAAATAATTCGTTGTAGGCTCGTAGTCTTCGCTTGTGAATCAAATACGTAAAACTTTATGATTCTATGAAGTTATTTCTCAGTTTTTATGAATTCTTTAATATCAACTTTTACACATCCAATGCTTTAACAGTAAACGTGTTTATGACCTTAATTTAAAAATTTGTATGTAATTGTGCATTTTGGATAATATTAAAAACGCTACTAAATGGATAAACATTATTTAGACTGGATTTACCCATATTATATTATTGGTCAATTAAAAAACAATTTTCAGGTATATTATTGGGTGAATTTGAGTTTGGGCCCCATTTTATTGTCCAAATTAGATTTTGCACTCCATTTTTAAAAAAACCTTTGTATTTGCACCACAATCATGTATGAGAAGACAAAAGTGTCTTCAAGATCCATAGAATTGTTAATGGATGAGCATTTTTGTCTTTTCATGCGCTATTGGGTGTAAATACAAAATTTTTAAAAAACGGCGTGTAAAGTCTAATTTGGATAATAAAATAGGGTGAAAACTCAAATTCCTCTTATATTATATAGGGGGTGTTTGGAACTGATTCTGCTTCTGCTTCTTTTTTAAAACAGATGCAGAATCAGTTTTCAGAAGTTGGTACCCCCCAGCTTCTAAAAAAACTTATTCTGAGAGTAAATTAGAGCACAAGAAGTGCTTCTGGAATTTCACCCAAACACTCCAGCTTCTGCTTCTGCTCCCTGAAGGAGAATCAGTTTTGAGAATCAGATCCAAACACCCCATACACTCCGTACATGTATACTACACTATATAAATTAATAAACTTGGAGAGTCTGCTTGCATGCAAACAATTTTTTGTAAAGGAACAACATAATTAAATAAATAAAAATGAAAAAGTAAAGTTTTATTACCAGGATTACTGGTGGAATTGCTGTTAAAAAAAGGAGTATCGAAGGCGAAAGTTTTGTTGAAATGAGTAGAAGTTCCGAGGCCTGAAGTGGTGCGATTTTTGCAGTCCGTGTGATTAGAGCACCAGCCTCCTCCCTTAAATGGAGTTAGACATTAATTAATGAATTAATCAGTCATGGGCAATTCAAACGTATAATATTTCAAATGCAAATAAAAAATAGTAAAATTAATTATATCACTCACTTAGTTATAACACACCGCTCAAATCACAAATTTATTATATCCGGCAAATTCCCTCACATAGGGAGTTTGGGATTTGAAGATTAACCGTGAGAAGAAGGAATTGAAGGAGATGATAAATGCAAAAAAAAAAAAAAAAAAAAATCCTTACTTTTGTTTGCAAAAGTAATTTCTAAAAAGAATGATTACGAAAATTATAATTAAATTATAATCATTTATTGTATTCAAATATTTGAATCAGTTTTCATTTTAGATCGAGTTAAAATTATCATTTGTTATCATTCAAAACCCTCTAAATCAGAATAGTTAAAATTGAACGTTGAAGGATTTTAGATGGTTACATAAATCCTTTAAAATATTCCCTTCAAATTTTTTAATTTCCCAAATAAGAAAAAAACGATCATAAACCCTAATCAACTCTCCGCTTTCCTTCAAACTCTAACTCCAAAACATACCTTCAGGGATGTACCGTGTACGGAGTACTAAAATATAATCCAACTTTCATGCACATATATACTACCTCCGTCCCTAAATACTTTGCCATCTTTGACTTTTCAAGTCAATGATGGTAAAGTTTAGACCATGATTTTAATTAGTATACTATTATGAAAGTGATAAGTTTTATACTTTTATCAATGTACTTTTAACAAAGAATAATTTGATATAATTTTTGTATTATACTTTGTAAATAATTTCTTATAAAAATATATAATTGGTCAAAGTTGAACATGTTTGACCGAAAAAATCAAAGATGGCAAAGTAAAAAGGGACGGAGGGAGTATATGTTTAATTTCATCATCATTTAATTAAGGGAAAAGGGGCAAATAAGGCCATGTACTAACCAAAAAAGGTCAAATAAGGTCTTATTTAGGAGGCTCTGTACGGTCTTCGCCATTTGGGGTGGTTCCTGGTGGAATTTTTTGATGAAATTTTTTTAGCATCTTATTCAGTAAGTCTAGTTTACTCATACCAAATTTCAGCTAAAACTTCAATCGGGAAGGCATTCAAATGAATTCTTGAAGATAACTGCGCAGTTAAAAGCTCAGTTATCTTCAAGAATTCATTTGAATGCCTTCCCGATTGAAGTTTTAGCTGAAATTTGGTATGAGTAAACTAGACTTACTGAATAAGATGCTAAAAATATTTCATCAAAAAATTCCACCGGGAACTACCCCAAATGGCGACGACCGGACATAACCTCTTAAATAAGGCCTTATTTGACCTTTTTTGGTTAGTACGTGGCCTTATTTGCACCTTTTCTCTTTAATTAATATAAGAATAGATTTGAAAGGCTTACTTGAAGGTAAATAACCCAATTGTGACTCCCATCGCCTACCCCTTTGTCATGGTAGTATGCAGCCGGACTACCATCCAAACAAACTGCATGTTAATATCCGTCGATCAGTACGTATCGAAGTAAAACAATGAACCTTAATTTCTAGCTATCTGAAGGCCCGTGTAACTGTAAAATATTTTTTGAGGGAAATATATACATACTAACTGATCATAAACATTTACTACGTACGTACGTAATAAATAAATATTAAATGAAAAACAGTTGCTCGGAACGAACCAGCCCCTTTTTCCAATGCCCCTTTGACGTATTTCAAATGAACGGATCGAGAGTCCGCAAGAGTAGTACAGTTAACAGCGATGATAAACACCAGCACAAAACTGGGAAGTAGAACTCTCGCCATGTTGAATATTGAAGCAAGCCTAGTTAGGTTGAGCAGAAAACAAATGCCTTAGATAAAATGTGATGGAAGTGATGATGATGGCCGTCCCAGGCTCACAGCTAGCTATATAAAACTTGATGTGACTCATTTAATGAAAAGCATCGATCGTCATTTACTATCCTTTCCATAACGATGCATGCACTACATACATCTTTATTGAACTAATTTGGAGAATCGAAGAATAGCAGCAAACGGAATGGGACTTGCATTTACCATTCTCAGCCAGGTAGGTACAGCCATGTGCGTATGCACTATATATGGCGACAAGACATGATGATGGAGAGGAAGTACACTACGTCATACCAAGCAGTTGAACACAAAGTTCATTCTTATTGTAGCCGGCCCCAATTTTTTTTAGCCTCTGTTCAAAAATAGAATGCTGAAAGGGTAATTCCTCAACTAGGAGTAAAACTCATTAGTGCGTGCAACGCTATTATTAATCTGTTTTTTTGTTTTTTACTCCTATGAAAGCATACGAAACATTAGTTATACAGTGAGCATTTTAATAATTTAAGTAATTTAAATTAGTTGTACACAGCCGGTGGCATTTTAATAATTTAACTAAAATTCGCGACTTCCGTGAAATGAGTATTAATGCACTTTTAGTGAGCATCAAAGTTATTATATTGAGTTGATACGTTTGTAATTTCCGTATGTTTATTTACGTTTTTAGTTAGTTTTGATTGTTTAATATCTCGGAAATTACACACTTTCGGTGTAATAGTTTAGTTTGTTAAATTCTTGTAATTTGTTTAGATTAGGTTTATTCTGAGCTTAAACAGGTCCAAGATCAATCAAATGATCAACGGTGAAGGAAGGTGCAAGATTACAAGACAAAAAGAAGGAAAAATCCTGATTTTGGTCTATACTCGGTCGAGTATACACATATACTCGATCGGGTATCTGGTTGACATTTCAAATCGGATCGGATCCGAAAACAAAGGAACATGCAGGAGAAGATTTTCCACGTTCGAGTGTCTATACCCGATCGGGTATACTTATGTACTCGATCGGGTATAGCTATAAAAACTACCCGAGTATTGATCGAGTATGGAACGAATTCGATGTTCTACACATACTCGATCGAGTATGTATATATACTCGATCGAGTACTCGACCTGCACCTCAAAAAGCCTATAAATACACCTCCTTTCCTTCACTTTTAGATCACCAATTCCTATATACTCTTAAGCTCAGTCTAGAATAGCATTTCTCTATATTTCTTTTAGCATGTTTAGTCTCCAAATGAGGAGCTAAACTTCCATTTCTTGGTTTTGCTCTTGAAGCTTGATTGATTATTAAAGTTGTGAGTTATTTTCTTACTTTCTCCTCTTGATTATTAATTCTTCCCTTAATCTCATTCTATATCATTGTTGGAGGGTGACTAAGTGACGATTAGTTAACGTTCCAACATTGATTATTACTAGAAACGTTCAATGAACCGATGGTTAAACATTGAAGGTTTCACAAGTAAGTAACTTCGGTTTGTTAATGCACGGTCGTGGTTAATAAACTTAAGAGGGATCAATTTTGTTGGTTAAACCAAAACCGGTGCGTTGAGGTTATCAATCTCAATTGATTTCATCAAGGAGTTAAAAAGATTAAATGCTACTATTACATCGGTATACGGCGTTGTTCTATATTTGATTAATAGTAAGGGTTATTAATGAACGGTCGTTGTTAATAACTACCCTCGATGAACTGGTTATACTCCGCGATTGAGTATTCGAGAGGGGATAAGTTATAGATATAACAATGATCGACTAAAATATATCAACAAGTGGAAAGTAGCAAGACCAAGTCCCTTTTATTCTTGAATTTAATCCCATATAACTCATTCATCTTCGTGTTTAAATTTAATCAAATCACTCAACAATCAAAACCCCCCTTTATCTACTATTTATATAAAAAGAAAGTTATTCCTTTCCCTGTGGATACGAACTCTACTTCATCTATACTACGTATAAGTGTTAGTGTTGAAATTACTTTGAGTGCACTCACGACAAAGTGCACGTCAAATTTGGCGCCGTTGCCGGGGAAAGGCAATTTATTTTTCTTTTTATTTCATTTTTAAAAAAAAAAAAAAATATAGTTGAAAGTATAAAGATTTCTATTTCTTCTGAGCTTTGTTTGAGTATATGGTAAGAACCCGATCTATAAACGAAATCATCTACCAAACAACCCCCCAAACGGAACAAGCCTTCGAAAGGTTTAGGAATTTATTTCCGAATACTTCTTCGGAGGAATCATCAAGTGCTAGTTCTCAATCTAGCGAGACCGAAGAGCCAATCACTATGGCTCTTGAGACGAGAACATTGAGGGAGCTCACAGCTCCGAATCTTAATCAACAACCCCTATGTATCACTTTTCCAACTCTTGATACGGGGGTCACATTTGAGCTAAAATCTGGGCTCATTCATCTACTCCCATCCTTCCATGGCTTACGAGGGGAGGATCCGAACAAACACTTGTCGGAGTTCCACATTGTGTGCACAAGCATGTGCCCCAATGGTGTGTCCGAGGAGCAAATCAAACTGAGGGCCTTCCCATTTTCTCTGAAGGATACTGCAAAGGATTGGCTTTTCTATCTTCCTTCGGGAAGTATCACTACATGGCCACAAATGAAGAAGGCCTTCCTTGACAGGTATTACCCCGCTTCTATTTCATCATCACTCAAGAAGCAAATAAGCAACATTGAACAAAAAGATGATGAATCTCTATATGAATATTGGGAGAGATTCAAGAAGCTATGTGCAAGTTGCCCCTATCACGGATACACCGAACAAGACCTCATCCTCTACTTCTATGATGGTCTTGTGGATCAAGATCGTCGCATGGTGAATGCGGCGTGTGGAGGGGGCATTGTCAACAAAACCCCTTCACAAGCAAGAGATCTCATCTCGGAGTTGGCCGAGAACTCCAGACACTATAACGGGCGGTCCTCAACTCGGAGAGTTATGGCGGCAGAATCCAACAACGCGTTGGAAAGTCAAGTGAACGGCTTGGCAAGTCAAGTGACCGGCTTGACTTCTTTGGTTAAGGATTTCCTTTTAAAATCCAAGACCCAAGAAGTCAAGGTCTGCGGTATCTGTACACAACACGGGCATCCCACGGACTCATGCCCGACTCTTCAAGAAGACGCCACAGAGCATGTCAACGCTTTGGGTTTCCAAAGCCACCAACAAAGGAGGTATGACCCGTTCTCAAATTCTTACAATCCCGGATTGAGGGATCATCCAAACTTAAGGTATGGAAACCCTCAACAAGCCAACCCACCTTCTCAATCGAGTATGTCTACGGAAGACATGATTCGAACTCTTGCTACTACCATGGGCACCTTACAACAAAACGTGGTGCAATTTCAACAAGAAACAAAGTCAAGCATTCAAAATTTGGAAACTCAAGTTAGCCAAATTTCGAATGCTGTAAATCGACTTGAAGCAAGAGATTCGGGTAGGCTCCCGTCCCAAACTGAGCAAAACCCAAGGCAACAAGTCAATGCCATCATGCTAAGGAGTAGCCCGGAATCACAAGCAAAGGAAAATGAAAAAGAGGAGATTGACCACAAGGAGGAGGAGCCAACGAAGAGAAAATTTCCTCCACTATCATCATATGAACCAATCCCTCCATTCCCTGAGGCGTTGAAAGATACAAGGAAGCTAGAGAGTGATCGGGACATCTATAAGACCTTCGCCGATTGTGAGGTAAATACCCCACTCTTTAAACTAATCCAAAGTGTTCCCCGTTATGCAAAGTTTTTGAAAGAACTATGTGTAATAAAAAGAAAAGATAAATTAAAGGGGAAACCAAAGGTTGAAGTTAGTGAGCATGTCTCGGCCGTCTTTCAGAAAAAATTTCCAAAAAAATGTGACGACCCGGGCATGTTCACTATTCCTTGCACGATAGGAAACACCACATTTCCTAAGGCCTTACTAGATTTGGGGGCATCTATAAACGTCATTCCTTATTCCGTTTATAAAACCCTACAACTTGGCCCACTACATCAAACCGGTGTAGTGATTCAACTAGCAGATCGTTCTAGTACCTACCCGAAGGGTGTATTAGAGGATGTGCTAGTAGAAGTAGAGAATATGGTTTTTCCCGTCGACTTCTACGTCCTCGAAATGGGGAATGATGACCAAACGGCACCCATCCTCTTGGGAAGACCCTTCTTAAAGACCGCAAAAACAAAAATTGACGTGTCTAGTGGTTCATTAACTTTAGAGTTCAATGACCAAAAAGTAGAGTTCAATATCTTCGACTCTACGAAAAAACAAATTAAAGATCAATCTCTTTGCTCTTTGAATGTTTTTGAACCACCAACGCCAAATGCTTTAATTGAGTCGAGAACAAAGAAGAAGGGTCGGCCTTACTGGAAAAGGCTTAAGAAAATAAATGAAGGAAGGGATGCTCACGATCCCACATAAAATAAAAATAAAAATAAATAAAACATCGTGCCACGACGTTAAATAAGGCGCTTCTTGGGAGGCAACCCAAGTCAATTAGTTAGATTTTATTTCCTTTTTGTGTAATTTGAGAGAAAAGAGAGAGAGGGAACTAATCACATGTTTGTTTTGAAGAAGAAGAAAATGCAGGTTTTGAAGTGTCTGGGGACATACTCGATCGAGTACCATCTCATACTCGGTCGGGTATTGTCTAAAAAGAGGAACCGAAGGCACCACTCGATCGAAGTAGCCATATATTTCTAAAAATGGAGGCATACTCGATCGGGTATATCTCTTTACCCGGTCGAGTATGAACTGAAATAAGAAGAAAGAAAAAAATCTGTCTCCGGTACTCGATCGAGTACAGGTTAATACTCGGTCGAGTATGAACTGAAATAAGAAGAAGGAAAAATCTGTCTCCAGTACTCGATCGAGTACAAAATCATACTCGGTCGAGCATAACGGGAAAAAGAACTTTATTTCATCCCTGCCTCCAATACTCGATCGAGTACAGGTTAATACTCGGTCGAGTATGCTCAGAAAAGCCAGTTTCCCAGCCCCTGTCTCCTGTACCCGATCGGGTATACAGGGATACTCGATCGGGTACCCCTGCGGATATAACACCAAATTAACCCCCAAAACACTTCATCTTCCCCAAACTCTCCCCAATTTCGAACAACC